ATTAGGTATCATGTACAATCTTCATAAAACAGAGAATGAAACCAGAGGAAAATATGTGTCTGCTGTGATTTGAGGCTTTATGAGGAGGGCTGGTAAGAAGGTTTGAGCCAGCAGGCGTTACAGTGTGACTGACTGCTGGAGTCAGTGAGGAGGAGGTGCAGTAACATTACTCTCACTGTGACAGATGTGCGTTTTGGCTTGGTGGTGGCATGACATTAAATTGCTCTTAATCATTTTCCTATTTCCTGAGCTGACTTGTGTGTCTGTCTCTGGTGTCTTTTCACAGGGAGCATTGCGTTGATAGATGCACGCCTCCGTGTGATTTCATAAAAGACAGCTTTTGAGTTCCTTTCTTTTATACTTTGGCTTTTTTTATTCTGTCCTGCATTTTTCATTCCAATATTTTTTTATCAGTTTTTCATTTTACTTTTCTATCGTTTTTACTCCCAAGTCTAAAGACCTAATTAATTATCTTTGGCAAAATACTTATTTCTTTACGTTTTTTTAATGTCTCTTTTGTACTCTTCTTTTTATAATCCATATTCTCTCCTTTTTTAACCCTACTCCTTTTGGTTAATCTTCATTCCTTTTCCACTCAAAAAAGCATTAGTTAAACTGAACATTTTAAAGCTTTCAATAACTGTTGTACAGTGGCAGATCTACAGATTTTTTTAGAGTGGCAAAGGTTTGGCATGACGTTGCAGCAGGATGTTAAAATTTTGTTGTAGAAATAGTTTACTTTTAGACTAAAATATGCATTCACATTATTTGTCTACAAAAAACATGGAATTACATATCAAAAAATAACTGAGTTCAGTTTGTTTACAACTTAATTTTTACCGAGGTTCTCCTTTGTTGGTGATGGGAGGATGAGCAGCTGCTGAATTCTCGCAAGAATATAATAATATAATATCGCGAGAATGTAAGAAAATTTGTATTCAATAAACTGAAGTCTATATTAGACACACAATTGTTAAATAAAATGATTTGTAGAAGGAATTAAACCATACAACACCAGAATTTTGGATCTGAGTGAGGTTTATTGTCACTCAAGCTGACAGGAAACCAACACTGCCGGAAAACCAAGAAGTTCATGTATTTATACACCTTCTTCAATGCCTGCGTTCGCCCCCTACTGACCTATGGCTGAATCACAGGCATTCAGACAAAATCCTCAGCTAATGTCATCACGTTTGATTATGTGTTGTCACATATTTCTGACATGTAACTGAACTTATTTCAATCAAAACATAATAGATTAAACACTGTCAACATTATAAAAAGGAAAACCTAAGAATATAGTGTTGTGCTTTTAACAACAGTACTAACCTCTAATAACTTTAAATTTCTTCAATCCCCCTGTTCACATGACCAAATCATGTGAACAAAAATAAGAAATTTATAATAATCTATATGTTCGCATTAAGGCACAAATATGTATGCAAATTACCCTAAACGATACAGCACTACGTGGAAAATTACTAACATCCCACCCCTGATAAAAAGTAATATGATCCATTTATTCCACCCAATCAAAAAATAAAATACATAAACTGAACTATTGTCAAATATCAACCAGGTCAGCTGTGTTTATTCTTTTGAGGCCAGAGGTTCCAGAACATGGCCTACGGTCGGGAACAAGTCCTCAGCACCGTTCCATCTCCCCCTGTCTTCTGTGGCAGACTGACCTGGTTACTAACAACATCCCTGCATATTAAGATTTGACCTTAGCTCATCAACAAACCATAAATGAAATTTAAACATTTTACAAAAATCATTTACCATCGACTCGTTAACCTATAAAAATCATGTCCAACTATGTGAGGGTAACTATTTCAGTGTTATCATTCTATATTTAAAAATGTCAGCTATAGACGTTGGGGCTTTTTTTCTCCACGCCATCACTCTTGGCCCTATTAGTATGGGTTGTGCGATGGTCCCAAGGATGGAATCCTCCTGTTCTCTCATCTCGTAGGCCAAAAGGTGGATGTTGCTCCAATGATATTTAAGCTACTGTATCCTATTTGTCTGGGAGACGGTCTTTGAATACACTCTTATGCCACCATAAATGCAATCGGACCACTACCCAGCCACCATTATAGACTCAAGCCTTTTTATTTTTACCATGTTTACCAACCACTGAGAAATCACTGTGCTAAACCATCTCCTCAGACCTCCTTACTACACCAAAAATTAGCCGAAGAATATACTACTTTAATGTGACACCACCCAAATGTCCAGCTAACTACTCTGCAATGATCAAGCAAATAACATAATTCAAATGCCACCTATCATCATGTCAATTTACCACAATGTACCTCCCTACTGCCACCTTCAGGCCCAACACGTGTAACTGTCTTTTAATAAAAAACCCTAGTTTGACATAAACTGTAACTAAATCTTCGACAATTGTTGTAATCCCTCTAACCATCACCAACTTAAATTATAAATCCTGAAAGGGAATGGTTACACATGCGCAGATAGTTATTGACATCACAGTTGTTCACATCAGATTGACAACATCAATCCGCTGTATTGTCCTGAAAATTAAACATAAGTTTTCACCACCTCAGTGAAACCTTGTAAATTTCCACCTGAAAGCCAAATTTGTATTACTCTAAGCTTGAGACCTGTAGGGTTTGTTATATTTTGATACAGTCAAAATTATAAAGTTAAACATTATCATACATGTTGTCTTCGCACTGGACTCAAACAGTTTTTTTCTTTCTTTCATCCAACGTCTTTGTCATATCAGTTTCACCCATCGATGTAATGACTGAGTGTACGAGTTTCACTGACTTGCCAGACACCAGRATAGTTTTAAGGTTTTTATTAAAATGTAAACAGCTGGATCTGGAAGCGAACGTCACAGGAATCAGGAGTTCTACACAGGAGAGAATTAGGTTAGTGGCTAGAACGTTCACAGGAACAGATTTAGTAGGGGATTTAGCCACTAACCTTTTTAGAGTACAGGACGTCCCAACAGTACTCTTAAAAGACTTTGAGAGTCTTGGATGAAGTCTGGTGAAAGCACTTCCGGGTTGCGRGGCTTGAGTGAGTTTACGAACTCGGGGTTTTTCCGTGAGGCAGGCTTGAGTCTTACACATGTGGTCAGAGATCCGAGACAGGTACTGAGGGCTGGACTTTACTCGTGGTCAGTGTACACAGGCGTGGGTCAGAATCCGGGAGACAGATGACTGAACAGATCCGACAGGGGAAGCAACGGGAGGTAGAGGTCCAGAGAGGAGTGCGTGGGTCAAAACCAGGAGATTAGAGTCCGATACAGTACCGTTAAGGGATGAGGCAAGGGGTGTGAATCCAGAGAGCAAAAACAAGGTCGTAACAAGGCAGGCAAGACATGACATGAGAATGCTGGACAACTACTAGGAAAAACCGTTCATAAATCTGGCACTGGTGATGTGGGAGAGTAGAGTTTAAATATTGCTGTGAACAGGTGAGAGACATGACGCTGATTGGATATTTCTGTGACGGGAGAGGTGAGACAATGAGTGAAGGCTTGGCTGTGACTTGACTTGGCAGAGAACAGGCTTAATTCACGACAGTACCCCCCTCTTAAAGTCCGGCTCCTGACGGACCTCGAGGTTGCATGGGGTGATCTCTATGGAATTGTTAGATGAGGGTCTTATCTAGGATGTGACATGCAGGGACCCAGGAACGTTCTTCAGGGCCATATCCTTCCCAGTCGACAAGGTATTGAGTCCCTCTCCCCCAGCATCGAGAACGTAAAAGGCGACGAACAGTGTACACAGGATCTCCATCAATGAATCGGGCGGGTGGAGGGGGCCTGGAGGTGGGCAAAAATCTTGAAAACTGGACAGGTTTGACCCGGGACACGTGGAACGTAGGATGTACTCTCATAGATGTGGGTAGCTTCAGCTTGACGGCCACAGGGTTAACCACCTTGGAAATGGGAAAAGGGCCGATGAAACGAGGAGCCAACTTCCTGCAGTCTACTCGCCGAGGTAAGTCTTTGGTAGACAGCCACACCTTTTGGCCTTCTTGGTAGTTAGGAGCAGGGGTTCTGTGACGGTTGGCTGTTCTTGAATAGATTGCTGTGGACTTCAGAAGCTGGGTTCTTGCCTTTCTCCAGACTCTCTGGCATCTCTGGGCAGCTTGGTAGTCAGACGGAACCACAGCATCACGTTCCTGGACGGTAAAAATTGGTGGTTGGTAGCCATAAAGCACGTAGGACGGAGACAGACCAGTAGCACTGGAAGGCAGGGAGTTCATCGCATGTTCTATTATGGGAAGATGTTTGGCCCATTTGGTGGCATCATTGCCGCATAGAATCCGCAGACGAGTCTCCATTTCTTGATTGGCTCGCTCCGACTGGCCATCAGTCTGGGGGTGAAAACCTGAAGAGAGGCTTAACTCAATAGCAAGAGAATTGCAGAATTCAGACCAGAACTTAGATATGAATTGTGGACCACGGTCAGATACAATGTCCTTGGGAATCCCATGAAGTCTAAAGACCTCTTGAATCATGATCTCACTTAGTTCTTTGGACGTGGGTAGCTTCTCTAAAGCAACGAAATGGACCATTTTCGTGAAACGATCCACAATAGTCAAAATGACCGTCTTACCCCCAGACTGTGGCAGGCCAGTAACAAAATCCATCGAGATGTGAGACCATGGGCGATATGGTATGGGAAGCGGCCTGAGAAGACCTGTTGGTCAGCGTCGAGAGGGTTTGGCCTGGGAGCATTGGATACAAGATCCAACGAATTCTCTAACGTCCTTTAACAAGGAACCCCACCAGAACTGGGACCTAACTATCTCAACTGTTTTACTTATGCCCGGATGACAAAAAAAGGGTGAAGCATGGCAGAAAGTCAGTACCTTGTTGACGAGATGTTCAGGGACATAGAGTCTGTCATCCGGGCAATCACTTGGTGGTGGATGGTTCTGGTCGGCCTCCTGGACCTCCCTCTCGACCTGGGTAATGGCAAGGCGCACATGCTCGAGCAAGATGAACTCCTCAATTCCACTGGTCTGTTCCTTTTCATGGATGTGAGAGAGAGAGTCGGGCTTGACGTTCTTGGTCCCGGGCCTGTAGGACAAAGAGAAATTGAACCTTCCAAAAAACAGAGCCCACCTGGCTTGTCGTGGATTGAGACTTTTAGCAGTTCGAAGATATTCCAGATTTTTGTGATCTGTCAGGACGATGAAAGGATGATTGGCCCCCTCCAACCARTGACGCCACTCCTCCAATGCCATCTTGACTGCAAGAAGTTCACGATCACCAGCATCATAATTGCGTTCTGCTGGGGAGAGAGATTTTGAGAAATAGGCACATGGATGTATTTTGTTGTCGTCAAACCTTTGACTAAGGATGGCCCCTAGACCAGTATCTGAAGCATCTACTTCCACAATGAACTGTTTGCTGATGTCAGGGAATTTCAAAATGGGAGCTGAAGTAAACAAAGACTTGAGTTTGAGAAAGGCTTGGTTAGCATTATTGTTCCATACAAAAGAGTTCYTGATGGATGTGAGTGAATGTAATGGAGAGGCCACAGAGCTGTAGTTGCGGATGAATTTTCTGTAGAAATTTGCAAAACCGAGAAACCTCTGCATTTGCTTACGTGTCTGGGGAACCGGCCACTCCAGAACAGCCGAAACCTTGGAGGGGTCCATCGAGATCTGGCCTGGCGTGATGTTGAATCCCAGGAAGGTGGTGTTGGTGGTGTGGAACTCACATTTCTCAGCYTTCACAAAAAGATTGTTTTGAAGGAGCCTGAGAAGAACAGCGTGAACATGGTGGATATGGGATTCGAGATCTTTAGAGAAAATGAGAATATCATCAAGATATACAAAGACATTGACATGAAATCTCTTAGGACATCATTACTAGTGCTTGAAAAACGGCAGGCGCATTGGTGAGTCCGAATGGCATGACCAGGTATTCGTAATGACCAGATGGTGTGTTGAAAGCTGTTTTCCACTCATCCCCCTCACGAATCCTGACCAGATGGTAGGCGTTACGAAGGTCCAGTTTAGTGAACACCTTCGCTCCTTGGATCAGATCAAAAGCTGAGGTCATTAATGGCAATGGGTATTTGTTTTAAACTGTGAAATCATTCAGACCACGATAATCAATACAAGGACGAAGAGAACCATCCTTCTTGCCCACAAAGAAAAATCCTGCACCGGCAGGAGAGGATGAGGGACGRATGATACCTGCTTTGAGGGACTCCGAGATGTATTTGTGCATGGMCTCACTTTCGGGTTGAGCTAGAGGATATAAACGACCTCTAGGAGGAGAAGTACCTGGGAGTAAGTCAATGGCACAATCATATGGTCTGTGGGGAGGTAAGGATGAAGCTTTAGACTGACTAAATACTTGAGCTAAATTGTGATACTCAATAGGGACGTTAGACAGATCAGGGAGAGTCTCCTTTATTTTGTTAGGGTAGACATAACATTAGCAGATTTTAGGCAATGAGATAAACATTGATCGGACCAGTTCAGAATGTTGTTATTTCTCCAGTCAATATGTGGATTGTGTTTTCTTAGCCAGGTAGCACCCAAAACAATGGGGAGATCAGGAGAACAGATGGTTAAAATTTTTAATGACTCCACATTGTTCCCACAGATGGATAACTGGACCTCCTGAGTTTGCATACTGTTCTTATTTAGGGTATGTCCATCAAGTGCCAAAACATTACGGGGTTTAGTTGTGGGATGCATCTGCACACCAAGAGAAACAGCAAAGTCAAAATCAATGAACTCAGTGTCAGCACCAGAGTCAATGAAAGGTTTGATAAAGAATTCTTTACCGTTAGCTTGAAGTATGGTGTTGATTTGTGGGAGACAAGGTTCGTGGGAGGAAGCTGCAGATCTGAATCCATGAGCCTTGGATCCCTGTGGTTTGTGTTTAATAGGACAGTTGGAAACTTGGTGTCCAGARCCACCGCAGTAAAAACACAGACCCTCCTGGCTCCTTCTAAGACGTTCACTCTGAGATAACTTAGATCGTCCGATTTGCATGGGCTCCTCTGGGGCTTGGTGAGTAGCAGGAACACTCCGGGCCACAAATGGCTCAGAAGACCTAGAGGGGACATGAGTGGGACTAGTGTTGTGGTGCTGCCTCACCTTTCTTTGTCGCTCATACAGCCTCAGATCAATCCGGGTTGCCAGATCTTCTAGTTCTCTGAGAGATGATGGCAGATCCCTAGTAGCCAGTTCATCCTTGATGTTATCATTGAGAGCTTGCCAAAACATGTCTAGTAGAGCCTCTTCATTCCATTTACTATCTGCAGCAATGGTGTGAAAATCAATGATTAAATCTGTGACTCTTCTCTTACCTTGTCTTAGATTTAATAAGCCTCTGGTTGCCTCTTTCTGGGGAAGTAAAGGGCTGAAAACTCTGGTTAGTTCGGCAGCAAAATCCTTGTATCTATAGCAAATCAACGAGTCTCTTTGCCATTCAGCTGTGCCCCATAATTTAGCACGACCAGACAATAATGCAATCACATATGCCACCTTGGAACGCTCTGAAGGAAAGGCTGTGGGTTGCATCTCAAACTGTATCTCACATTGGGTTAAGAACGGGCGGCACTGGTTCCCCATCAAACTTCTCAGGTGGAGAAAGTTTGGGCTCACTGTAGGGCTTAGACATGACGTTGGGTTGTGAAGGCCTTGTTTGTCCAGCAGATGGTGCCAGAGTATCACTCCTGAAAACTAGAGAGAATTAGGTTAGTGGCTAGAACGTTCACAGGAACAGATTTAGTAGGGGATTTAGCCACTAACCTTTTTAGAGTACAGGACGTCCCAAAAGTACTCTTAAAAGACTTTGAGAGTCTTGGATGAAGTCCGGTGAAAGCACTTCCGGGTTGCGAGGCTTGAGTGAGTTTACGAACTTGAGGTTTTTCCGTGAGGCAGGCTTGGGTCTTACACATGTGGTCAGAGATCCGAGACAGGTACTGAGGGCTGGACTTTACTCGTGGTCGGTGTACACAGGCGTGGGTCAGAATCCGGGAGACAGATGACTGAACAGATCCGACAGGGGAAGCGACGGGAGGTAGAGGTCCAGAGAGGAGTGTGTGGGTCAAAACCAGGAGATCAGAGTCCGATACAGTACCGTTAAGGGATGAGGMAAGGGGCGTGAATCCAGAGAGCAAAAACAAGGTYRTAACGAGGCAGGCAAGACGTGACATGAGAATGCTGGACAACTACTAGGAAAAACCGTTCATAAATCTGGCACTGGTGATGTGGGAGAGTGGAGTTTAAATACTGCTGCGAACAGGTGAGTGACATGACGCTGATTGGATATTTCTGTGACGGGAGAGGTGAGACAATGAGTGAAGGCTTGGCTGTGACTTGACTTGGCAGAGAACAGGCTTAACTCATGACAATTGAGGCTTGTTATGACCTGTAAAAACCTTGCTCTGAATGATCTATTCCCAGAGCAAAGATGAAACAGAATCACCACCCCTTTCACTGGAATTGAACTGATATATCTTCCTGCTGTGTGACCTTTTAATTGATCTTTTGAGCATATAACAAATTTGTTATATACCTACTACACATCTTAAAAACCTTTAATTCTCCAGTTGTATTCTGGGAGAGAGGAAGTCATCATTTTACCAGTATTCAGTTAAACATTCTCCTTCCCCTTTTTCAGGTTAGTTTCTCAGATTGGCCAAAATCTCACTTAGTTCCTGTAAAACAAAAAGTTACCAATATTATAATCACATTCAAAAACAACAATAAACCCATTCCAATTAATTACTCCCCCTTTAAGATCTGGATAAAAATACGTATCAGATGTTGTGATCCCTTTCGTAATTTTCCGTTTGTCATAAGTTTTATGAATTTGTGCTGTAGCAAATCCAATTACAGCTATCATACCAGTTTGAAACATCAATCTCATTTAAGGTTTATTAGTGCTTATTCGTCCTTTTGACCAATATAGGGTCTCTACCCTAACTAAAGAAGCCATATCCACACAAAGATTAATTATACAACCCCAGCCTTTGTAAGGCCCTGGGCTCACCTCACAAAAACCCAAACAAAGCCGAACCACTCTGCTCAGAAGCAGAGTTCAACACCATGCGACAGCCTCGTCAAACCTATATTACAGACCAATGCTGCACCTACAATAAACATTTTCAATATTTATACCTTAACCCATCAGAACAAACATCCTAATACAACCACCTCTTCTTCTGTGATATTTAATTGGCAGAAAGTGTTTTTTCTCATGTTACACCCTTCACCTCAGACCCTCCTTCTGTCTGAGGCCTTTATCTGTTCGGACCCTCCCCAGTATAATTTATTTTGACTCCATTTTTATTAGCCAGAAAACCCTTTTAATTTAGCGAGTACACACTACACTCAAAAATAGCTTCTCATCGCAACTTTCAATCGGAGTACACAATTTTTCTCAGTCATTTAGCCCGTAAATAAACATTTACCTGGGTACTATCCATGTTTAACTCCTTCACTGCTGAGAAGAACCCATTGTCCTTAGGTTTATGTTTAAAATGTGAATGCTCTTACCTCAGTAAATCAGCACAACTCAGGTAAAGTGTGAATTACTATGTGTCTGTGCACTCCAAGGTTAGTCCACCAGCAAGCTATGGTACTTCAGAATCATCCTCTCTGTTCTCCTGTGTCAACCTTGTCAAGTCAGTCATTGTAGAGGCAGTATTATAACCCGCAGTTACAGTCCAATCTCCTAATTGGGTTGTGAAGCTAAAGTCCATAACAAAACCTACTGTAGTCCATTTACCCACACAAATTAAATCCATCATTACCCATGTTCTGCAACAAGAAACCAAACTCACAAAGTCACCTGAAAGCAAAAGATAAACCAAACGGATTAAGCACAAAATCTCATCGTTACACCCAATTTATAACTTCTATGTAGAAACGTTAAATACCATCTTGTCTTTCACCAACATCCACAATATATATTCTCATGTCACCCATTACAGTATAGTAACTATCACACTGTCTTACATTTTCCACAGTCTGCAAATCGCTAATTTACAAAGCTACCATAAATGAGAAAACAAGCTTCTTCCATCCCTGAATGCTGTCTCAAGGTCAAACACAGATGTTCTTGTGAGCTCTAGGCTTGATTAATGTAATCCCTCACACATCAGTAGTAATCAGTCCGCCATCTCGTTTACAACTTGTACAAAACCCTGCTGCCCATTTATGAACTAGTTTTGTGGTGTTATGAACTAACACCACGCCTGTCTTTCATCTTTAAGCTATTAGCTGTTGTCATGGCAATATTTATTTAACCAAGACAGAAATACTGTATGTGGTCAAAGAATGAAGGTACTCTGTGAGATGATCAGTCAAGTTGTATTGCAACAACAGGAAATAAAGAGAACAACCTGCAATGTCTATGTGCCTCTGCCTCTCTCTCTCACACTCCACTCTTTTTCCATTTCAGATCTTCCTCCAACCTCACTGTGTTCCAAGCTAAAATTAAGACCTATTTATTTACAAAGGCTTTTGTTATTTGACTTCTAGCATTTTATAACTTGCATTTACCTTATTTTATTGTAGTCCTGCTTTTAACTTATACTCAAATACCGTATTTTGACGTGTTGCCTTAGCTTTGTCGACTGAAGCACTTTCGTTAATGCAGGTTCTTTTTTGGACAGAGCAATACACCTAAATTTTG